CAAGATGGGCATTACTCCCTCCTTCCATCTATATAGGGGCCTAATGTGTTTTTCAAGACTGCCTTTGACTATTGAAAATATTAATAGTACATGAGATGTATAATGTGAAAATTATATTATTGGAAACTCCTTTCACATACGAATTTCATGGTATGCTTTGTGTAAGTTGCATGTCATATATTATTGCTCTAACATTTGGTCAAAATTAGCCTCAAAAAATGTATTAGGCCCTATATAGATGAAAGGAGGGAGTACTCTTTAATAGAGCAAACATTTCAATGACGCCATTACCCTACCATTACAACGAAGCCATCAAGTGTGAGTTTCTAGTGCATAGTTAAAAGAAAGTTCCCATTCAGCATTAACTATGCCATAACACACCCGAACATTGTAAACCCGGGCAATGCCATCCATATATAAGGCAGAGTCCGGGTATCTAGCACGGGTCTCTCTCTCTCCCTCTCTCTCTCTCTCTCTCTCAATCACATACTTGTAATCCCTATACACAATTATATGAAAGAATATCCACACACATTATTAGATCTAGTATGTCTACCGCTGAGGGGCCTGAACCTGCATAATCTCTTGTGTCACCCATTTGCGCCTTGATAGATCAAGCCCCGTTCATACACCTCTCTTATTGTCAAATTTAGAACCAGAACAGTTGAAGCCCACCTTGGGGCTGGCATCTATCAAGCCATGGTGCAAATGGCTTTTTCTTCAATCACCACCGACGGACTAATTCTTGAGCGTGCCCTCTGTTTGGGTTCACTTGACTTTGTCACTGAAAACTCGATGTGGTGTACACGCCGTTCGGCGGGATCGCGCAACTATGTACCTTTTAAAACTCAACCTTTTAAAATATATTTATTCTTGCCTTGCTTATGAATGCCATGTACCGGGTGAACTTGAACGGACACCACTCGGTTAGTTACCGGTTATGGACAACTATAAGCAACTTTGCCAAGAACTGTCAGCTTGATCTCTTCACCTCTTCTTAACTAAAACTTGATGGGTTGACTAAAGGGAATATGTCTACCAATGGTGCCATGTGTGGTGTGGGCCATGGGCTAGCCAGTGGATCTAGTCTAGGGCAATTGTGTGATGAGTTGACCCACTTATTACTTACATATATAATAGATCACCTACTATAAAGTTGAAAAAAACCTATTTTCTCCAAAGAGCCTTGAACTCCACTTACCCAAAGATGCATGCAGGTGAGATGGGACTAATGAACAACTATGGAAACTTGCCAATAAATTCAATGTATTGGCCCTAGCAACATCCTCTTCCTCTCTCTCCATGCAGCCAGCCCGAGCCCATCCATATCCCTCCATCTCCCTTCTCCCTCGATGCTTGCCTCCGCCATGGCCCGACAGAAGAAGGCCATGTATGCCATGCTAACGCGGGAGCACTGGTTTCATATTCAGGAGGAGATCTGAGAAAGGCGCGCCGCCCAGATCGCAGCCTGCCTGCCTCCTGACTCGCTTGAGCCGAAGGAGGAAGAGCTGGAGGAGGAATAGGAGGGGAGCATCACTCGGAGCCGATGGAGGAGGAAGATGAGGAGCCGGGGCCAGTTGCAGGCTTCGCCATGGAGGATGCCATGGTGGAGTTTGAGATCGCCCAAGCGACGGAGATGGTGGAGCAGACTGCCATCCTCGAGTCCATACAAGATAAGGCACACATGGAGTCCAACCGGCGCTTCATCCAACAATAATAGTTTCGATGAGGTGGAAGCGGAGATGGAGGTGGAGGCTGCCACGGAGCCGGAGTTGCGTATGCCGCCCATGTACCAAAAGCTCGGAACAGAGACAGTGGATATCTCCGACGGGCGACGACAACGAATAGTCTAGCCTAGGTTTATAATTGATCTATGTACTACTTAGATGTTTAGTTTCATGGTTTGTATGGTTCCAAAGACTTGAAGTATGATATATTCGGATGCAGAGACAAAAATTTAAGGGATGTCTGACCACTGCCTGCGGACACGCCCGGATGCGTCCGCGGGAGTTTAAAGGGGCATCATGCTGTAGATGCTCTTACTCTTACTAAGGAATGCAGCCATGCAAAATAAAATAAGCTACCTCCTAAGTTAGATGACCAAGATACCGTTTCTACTTCGTTGATCCGCGCTGGAGTTTGCCATATTATCTCGTTACACAAGAGGTCACGGAGGTGAATCCATGGAAGGGGGAGTCAAAAGGGGAAGGGATACGAATCATTGAAAAGCAAAAGGCAGAAGAGGCAAGGGGCATTTCAGACATTTTGCTGATCTCCCTGGTCCCATCCCCTTCCTCTTCTTCTCCCTTCCCTGCCCCTTTCCTTGGCTCGGCAACCTCCACAACTCATAAACTCCCCACCACGCCAGCCATTCCCCAGCACAGCAAAGCATCCAATGCTTTCCCCTTCCCACCCATTTACCACCCTAATGCCCTCCGCCAATCACTCCCTCCACTACTAAACCCCTCCCTCATAATCCCCCCGGAGGAGGAGCGGAGCGGCGGCGGCGGGCGAGATGGACATCTCGTCGTTCGTGACGTCGCTTCTGACGTCCTTCGTCATCTTCGTCGTGCTGGTCCTGGTCTTCACGTGGCTCTCGCGCCGCCCGGGGAACGCGCCGGTGTACTACCCGAGCGTGCTGTTGCGGGGGCTCGACCCGTGGGAGGGGCGCGGACGGGGCACGCGCAGCCCCGTCGGCTGGATCCGCCAAGCGTTCACGGCGTCCGAGGCCGACGTCGTTGCCGCCGGCGGAGTCGACGCCGCCGTCTACCTCGTCTTCCTCTCATCCGGTACGCCCAAGCAAACCGCGCTCTTCAGTTCATTTGTGTGGTTTTTTTTACAGGGATTGAGTTCATTTGTTTACCCATGATTTGGTTGGTTAAGTTGCCTTGGCTCGGCTGTTTGGTTCCCAGGTTGCTCTGCGTACTGCTTATCTGTGCGTTTCTGTGGTATATTACTCTCGTTTCAACAATGATTCGCACGATAAAATAACGCCGTGCTGTTTTGTAGGAGTAACATGTTTTGAAATCTGCTCATGTAAAGCCGTATTATATTCTGAACGGATATCTGTTTCTAAAAATATGGTGCCGTGTTGTGGAAACGCAGTTTCGTGTTTGATTGTCTGTCTTCTTTATACCAACACAATGGGATAGACGCTTACATGAACTGCCAGAACTGCTAGAATACGGCTTTACACATCAGATTTTCACACCAAATTAAAATAATGCTCTTATAAAGCCGAGAAAAGATTTTGAACAAGCTACAGCCATGCTTTTTTTTTTCAATTAAGACCACCTCTTGTACCCTATGAATGTATGATACGCATGCTTATGCATAATCCAGAAAAAGATCATCCTGTACTTTTAAGGCCAGGCCCAAACAAAACTACGATACCTGTAGGATTGTTGGAATTATGAAGTTTAGCAAGTTAAAACGGTTTAATCTGCAGTCCAAAATGGGTGATGCAAAGGGTAAATGCGTTCTGGGTCAATTATAGTTTTTTTAGCAGAGGTCAATTATAGGTGTGGGTACATCATAGAGTCGTTGTCAATTTCCAGTTTGTTTATTGCTCTCTTGTGTTCCAGTGTTGGCAATCCTTGTGGTCTCTGGAATTGTGTTGCTTCCACTTCTGTTACCGCTTGCTGCAACTGATCATGCCCTGGAGAATTCTGCTGGCTTCAAAAATGGCAAAGAGGTGCAGAACTTCACGATTATTGAAAGATTAGCATTGGGCAATGTTCAAGTAAGCAAAATTTTATTGCAGTTACCTTTTCGGTCTGTTTTTGTTGCCATAAACTAATCTAGGTTGTTCTATTTCTACACAATTAGACATTCCAAAGCATGTTCTCACTTGATCTGGCCCATTTAATCTCACCAAATGGATGCTCGGTTTTCAAAAATGTGTATTTTATACATTCCAAGTATATAATTTGCTTCTTGAATAGGCAGTGTCTTGCTCCTTGCTGTTCTATTAGCCGTTAGGTCCATCATTCCGTAGTTTGGATTGAAATGAAATTCTGCTTTCCGACCAGTATTCCTTGAATTTACAGTGCATCCAGATTTGATTATTCATGTAATCACTTGTACCATTTCTCGCAATTGGATTCTTAAAGTCTAGTAGTTCAAAAGAATGTGAAGGTTGACTGAAATGGTTACGTTTCAAACTATCACAACTGTTGTTTTTCTTGTATATAAAAAAGTATAGCTTCCTATAAACATGATTGCCAGACTGCATTCATAATATTATGGTCACACTCACAACCATACTAAGCGGTGACTTAACATTTTCTCCAGAAAAAAAGTATGAGGCTGTGGGCATTCATATTATCAGTCTACTGGGTCTCCTTTGTCACCTATCTCGTACTATGGAAATCCTACAAACATGTTTCGAATCTGAGAGCAGCTGCAAGATCAACATCAGATGTTAAACCAGAGGAGTTTGCCGTGTTGCTGAGAGATGTTCCTATACCGCCTCCTGATCAAACTATAAAGGACTCGGTGGACTCATATTTCCGAGTACTTCATCCTGACACATTCTACAAAGCAATGGTTGTGACAGACAATAAGGAGGTAGTGCAGCTCTGAGGTTCTTGTAGGGCAATTGCTGCCCTTTCTTTATCTTATTTGCGATACTTATCGTACTTCCCTTGTATCTGATTTGATTGCTCCCTGCAGGCTGATAAAATTTTCCAAGAGATTGAAGGTCACAAACACAAAATTGCTCACGCAGAAGCTGTCTATGCAGAGTCAAAAAAAGGAAACAAACCTGAGGGCACCAAGCCTACTCATAGGACTGGATTGCTTGGTCTTATTGGTAAAAAAGTTGACACAATGGAGTATTGTAATGGGGAGATCAAGGAATTACTGCCCAAACTGGAGGCTGAACAGAAGAGCACTCTTCATGATAAACAGCAACGTGCTGCCATTGTCTTCTTCAACAGCAGAGCTGCTGCAGCCTCTGCATCTCAGACTCTTCATGCTCAGCTGTTTGATAAATGGACAGTCACAGAAGCTCCTGAACCACGTGATATGATATGGTCCAACCTTCCGAAGAAAATATATGAGAGGCACACCAGACAGACTGTGGTTTATTTCATTGTCTTTCTCACAGTCTTTTTCTATACTATTCCTATTACTGCTGTCTCTGCTGTCACGACGCTGGAAAAACTGAGGGAGAAGCTGCCCTTTCTGAAGGTGGTGGTGGACCAACAAGTAATTAAGACTGTCTTACAGGCTTACCTGCCGCAGCTCGCGCTTATTGTTTTTCTAGCTTTGCTGCTCTCCTTATGTTTCTCTCAAAGTCAGAAGGGATCCCTTCACAGAGCCATGTAGTCAGGGCAGCGTCAGGAAAATATTTCTACTTCATTATCTTCAATGTCTTCCTTGGCTTTACAATTAGCTCCTCATTGTTCAGTGCCTTGAAAACCATCGTTGATAACCCTCCTGGGATTATTGTGATGCTAGTCAACAGCCTTCCTGGAAGTGCAACTTTCTTCCTCTCATTCGTTGCACTGAAGTAATGCTTTTCGTGTCTCATTCATTCAAATCTAGATATGCCTGAATTTCACTACAAGTATCGAATATAACTGTTTGATTGCTGTTTTTACAGATTCTTTGTTGGTTATGGGCTTGAGCTCTCTCGCTTGGTCCCTCTCATCATTTTCCACTTGAAAAAGAAGTACCTATGCAAGACTGAGGATGAAGTGCGGGCAGCGTGGAGTCCAGGGGACTTGGGGTATAACACCAGGGTTCCAAGTGACATGCTGATTGTTACAATTGTGCTGTGCTACTCCGTCATTGCACCTTTGATTATTCCATTCGGTGTTGCTTACTTTGCTCTTGGATGGCTTATAGCAAAAAACCAGGTAAGCAGATGTTACTTACTTCAATGTAAGTTCAGCATAGTGAGACTAATCTAGAGATGGCTTCTGGAAGTGATACTAATCCATTAACTATATATTTGAAGAATACGGATGTCTGAGAATTTGGCAAAAAGGACTTATAGTACGGATGTCTGAGAATTTGGCAAAAAGGACTTATAGTACATTTTACTTTTATCTCTAAATGCAGGTTTTGAGAGTCTATGTTCCTAGTTACGAGAGCAATGGGCGAATGTGGCCGCACATCCACACGAGGGTCATTGCGGCTCTAATGATTTACCAGGCCACCATGATTGGTGTCATCATACTGAAACTTTTCTTCTATTCGGCTATCCTTTTCCCGCTCATCCCAATAAGTTTAATCTTCGCCTACACTTGCCACACACGCTTCTATCCTGCATTTGCCAAAACCCCTCTTGAGGTGGCAAGCCAGGAGCTCAAAGAGACACCGAACATGGGTGCCATCTACAGTGCATACATCCCTCTTTGCCTGAAGCCTGAAAAGCTCGAAGATGTGGACGTATTCGAAGATGCTCAATCGCGCACTACCTCGAGAGCACCATCCTTTTAATGTAAGAAGTTGCGTCAATCAAAATACAGAAAACCATTTTGAAATATACAGACATATGATCTGAGCATCGCCATTGAATTTCTGCAGGATATGGAATGAATTCCCACGCACAACCTTCAACGTTGAACCATCTGTGAAACAGCTGTTTATTGAGATAGGAAGCTGATGTCATATGCCATGTACATACACAGTCTTGTCCGATGAAACTTTCTTCTTCTATTTTTAGGTAGTTGTTGTGGATATTCATATTATTGGGCATTTATGTTTGTCTTGGTTGTTATATTGATATGTATGTGTGTAGACTGTCTGCTGTGTGCAACTTATCTTCGAAGTCAGACTGCTTGCCCTGGTGGTGCTATTAATTTGTTACTGAAATCATACCACAAAAGTGGGAGTCGTACTCTTGCATATTGCCTTGTTCTTTAGTTAGGAATTGACGGAGTAATTTGCATCAAATTAGTACTGCCTATGTCAAAATCATGTTGTTGACACGGTCTTTATTGTGACATTTTGAGGACAAATTCTTTTTTGTTGAAAATGTCGTAGCAAGTTTTTTGAGATAGTTTGAAGCTGGAGCTTAGTGTTTCTCTGAAAGTGATGCATGTGATATAAAAGCAGATTGCTGTGGGAGGAGAGGATTTCAGAGCTTGGAATTGCATGAAGAACGGCAAAATTCAGTAGACTTGAGGATGTCGCTGAAGGCAACTAGTTCAAATAAAGTCAAAATTCACACCTGGAGAATCCTGTGGAACGGCTTGGCGGTAGGAACGGAGTTGCACAATCGAACCATTCAGGCCTCCTTGGTTTGGAGGAACTTTACAGGAATTCTATAGGATAGGATTATTATAGTAATTTTTCCTTTAGAGCATCCGCCGCAAACCTTCGCCTGGTGGAAGGTGCTATCCCTTTGGTTTTTTGGTTTGAAGGAATTTCACAGGAATTCATACATAGGATTGGTTCCTATTTTTCATATTTCAAAGAAAAATAAACATGAACCCAACGGAAAAAAAACTATAATGTGAATCAATGACATCTTTTTTTTATTCCTACTCTCAGGTGTTGATTTCTTTAGTTAGGGCTGGACACCTTCCGCTCGAGATCAGCATCTTCTACATGCGATCATGGATGCTTGATTGGCTGGGAAGGGTCGGGTAGTGATGAAAAGGAAACGGTGATACGAGAGTTGTACCAGCTATGGCTGTTGCAGAATAATGCAAAGGATTCCTAAAGTGTTGACGACCCGGCAATTATCAGGAACAAGGTGTTATGCCTTGTGGAGGAGTGAAAATCAATCAAGGAAGAATCGGTCCATCCAGCGGTGCAACAGGTTGAGGCGTGATGCAAACCAGATGAAGGACCGATAAAAGCACACACTGATAGAGCGCTAGCAAAGAACCATGGGTCAGGAGGGGGAGGTGTAGTTTTTGGGACCATTATGGCACCTTTAGGTCTAATTTGGTAGCAGCCGAATCAAAACCGGGGCAGCAAACCCCAGCCGGGGAAATTTTCATGGCATATGAGATCCCCTTCCACCGTAGTGAGATTTCCCTAATCACTTCTATATCATTTGGTCGTTCGGGGACAAGGACGCAACGTTCCAGGTCGCTAGGTGGACGTCGATCGCGTGAGAGAAGCGGATGCGTGGATTTTCCCTCCGACCTCACGAGGCATGGATTGCTCTCCCAGGGAAACGATAGGGATCGGGCCAGAAAGTACCCGAGCTATGAGCGATCAAACAATGAGCTAGCTTTTCCATGGGCTGATTTGTCCCATGGGCTCCGAGCCCGGGGTTCAGACGGGGATCTCCCCGGGATACCGGACAACCAAATGAGGCCTTATAGAAGGGGCTTGCCATTTTTTTTCGGTTGCAAATGATCTGAAATTGGTTGAATTGCTAGCTTGCCGTCGCGCCATTAATCTTCGCGCGAACGTTCAGAAGGTGCTGCTAGAGACCTGTTCTCAATTGGCAATCAGGAAACTGATCGATGAACATAGAGATCTTTCAACTCATGGGCAACTAGCGGCAGAGATCAAGGACTTGCTAAGATCCTTTCGGGATTGCAAGGTGGCCTGAGTGCGATGGTCGGCGAATAAGCTACGTAAAACTTGGTTTCTACATTTCTCCTGAGTTTGTTAACTCGAGATTATGCTAAGGGGACCGTGAACTCTTGAATATAAATGCAACAATTCCCTGAGAAAAAAGAAAATATTATAGTAGCGTGTAGGATACTGGGTGATTTTGCCATGCCGTGACACGCATATTCTAAAATGCACGGCGTGGCATCCAAACCGACGCCCCGCGTCCACTCAAAAATAAAAGGGACGGCGCCTCCCGCTGCCCTCCTTCGCTCCAAAAACCCAAGACGAACCGAACCAGCGACAGGCCAACCGCGACTCGGGCATGCAATTGCCATGCGCGAGACAACCTTCCACACACCCGGTGCTGCGCCACTGCGTCGCGCTCCTCCGCCTCCACCTGCCGTCTCCCTCCGTCGCTGCGGCCAAGCAGATCCACGCGCGCGCGCTCCGTGCGACTGGCGTGACCCTCTCCCACCCTCTCCTCGCCAAGCACCTCCTCTTCCACCTAGCTTCCCTCCGCGCCGGCGCTCCCCCGCTCCTCTACGCCGTCGCCGTCCTCTCCCGCCTCCTCCCCGACCCGGACCCTTTCTCCCTCAACACCGTCCTCCGCATCGCCGCGTCCTCGGCGCGCCCACGCCTCGCGCTCGCGCTCCACCGCCGCCGCCTCGCGCCGCCCGACACGCACACCTACCCGCCGCTCCTCCAGGCCTGCACACGCCTCCTCGCCCTTCGCGAAGGCGAGAGCCTCCACGCCGAGGCCGCCAAGAACGGCCTGGTGGCGCTCGTCTTCGTCAAGAACTCGCTTGTCCACCACTATGGTGCGTGCGGCCTCTTTGAGAGCGCCCACAGGGTGTTCGACGAAATTCCGGTGCTGGAGCGGAACCTCGTCTCCTGGAACTCCGTGATGAACGGGTTCGCGGCCAATGGCAGGCCCAACGAGGTACTGACAATCTTCCGGGAGACGTTCGAGGTGGACCTCATGCCGGATGGATTCACCATTGTGAGTGTTTTAAATGCGTGCGCAGAGATCGGGGCGCTCGCTCTCGGGAGGAGGGTGCATGTGTTTGCGTCCAAGGTTGGGTTAGTAGGGAACAGACATGTTGGTAATGCGCTGATTGATCTGTATGCCAAGTGCGGCGGAGTTGAGGATGCAAGGAAGGTGTTTGAGGAGATGGGGGTGGGAAGGACCGTGGTCTCATGGACGTCACTGATCGTGGGTTTGGCAGGGAATGGGTTTGGGAAGGATGCGCTTGAGCTGTTCGGTCTGATGGAGAGGGAGAAGCTTATCCCTACTGATATCACTATGGTAGGAGTGCTGTATGCTTGTAGCCACTGCGGGTTGGTTGACGATGGGTTTCGATATTTCAATGAGATGAAGGACAAGTACGGCATAGCACCAAAGATTGAACATCTTGGATGTATGGTGGATCTGCTGGGGAGAGCTGGAAGAGTTGAGGAAGCGCACGATTATATCAGCACGATGCCACTGGAGCCCAATGCTGTTGTGTGGCGGACATTGCTAGGTGCTTGTGCTATGCACAAGAAGCTGGAACTTGGGGAGGCTGCTTGGTCACGGCTGGTTGAGCTTGACCCTGGGCACAGCGGCGACTATGTCCTCCTCTCAAATCTGTATGCTGCTGTTGGGAGGTGGGCAGATGTCCATGTCCTTAGGAAGACAATGGTCACGCATGGAGTGAGGAAAAACCCAGGGCATAGCCTTGTGGAGATCCGCAACTCCGTGTATGAGTTTGTTATGGGCGACAGATCACATCCTGAGAGTGATCAGATATACCTAATGCTTGCCGAGATAGCCGAGAGATTGAGGCGCCAAGGTTACGTCCCCCGCACAAGCAATGTATTGGCAGATATAGAGGAGGAAGAGAAAGAGGCTGCTTTAAACTACCATAGCGAGAGGCTGGCCATTGCCTTTGCCTTGCTGAAGTGTCTTCCTGGTACTCCTATCAGGATAGTGAAGAACTTGAGGGTGTGTGGAGACTGCCATTTGGTAATTAAGTTAATATCTAAGGTATATGACCGTGAAATCATTGTTAGGGATCGCAGTAGGTTCCACCATTTCAAAGGTGGAGAATGTTCATGTAAAGATTATTGGTAGTTGATTCATGTACGGACTGACAGTGATGAATGCATGGTTTATGAGGTTCCATGCCCTATAATCAGGGGAATGGTGGTGACCTTTGGTTGCCGAACAGTTCTATAGAACTTCATTTGTCGACACCGCATGTTTTGACTCAACCACAGCATCTGGTTTCTGTTGCACAGGACTACTGCAGTGAAAGCATTGGGGCGACCTCATCTGTTGCAGATCGCTGCAATCTCAGTCTTGGTCTAACTCACTAAATGTGTAGTGGAAAAAATAAGCTTCAGGACATGGCACATCAGAAAGCAAGGTTGAAGCTGGATACTGCCAGCACCATTCTAGTGTTGGAAATATTATGATGAACGTTTCCGAGTCCTGGTTGTACAACTTCTGTAGAAGTTCAGATGTCGAAACATGTGTTGATTCAGCCACAGTATCCAATTTCTGAATGGAAGTGTGGCGGTAACCTCATCTATTATTCATATCTAGTAGAACTTACAAAATGTGGAGGTAGGAAACAGAAGCAACCAGAGATACAGCAGAAAGCAGGTTTGGAGCTGATACTGCTAGTATATACTTCAATTCTAATGCCGCACCTGTATTTTAGAATTTGCACCTCTAAAATAGTCTGCATTGTCAAAGAATCTACCAGTATCCTACTGTTTGGTATGCTCCATGGGATATTACTGTGACATATCATTAAGATTTTCTGTTTTTTCTCAGACAGTAAGGTTGTCTTGAATGAATGTTCTGTTTCTTGTAATCAAAGATTCACAGTAGATGATTGGCATGATAAAGCTAGGGATGATACAGTTTGCAGGGTTCCTCAATCTATGGGATTTGGTCGCCCATACAAATCTGATGCCTCATGTTGAAGATGAGTTCTGGTGGATGTGGACCCTAGACAAAGTGTATTCGGGAAAGACAGTTTACACAGCCTTTTCCCCACTAGGGTGGAGGCCAACTTCGCAAGCATGATCTGGAAGTCATGAGTGCCTGCTGAGTGTCGATTCTTCGCGTGGCTAGCAGCATGGGATTGCTGCTGGACTGCGGACCGTTTGCAATGGAGAAGCCTCGACCACCCAGTCCGATGCCCACTTTGCGATGAAGATCAGGGGACTTTGCCTCACCTTCTGATCGGGTGCGTCTGAGTCCAGGGAAGTGTGGTCGGAAGTTTTTAGTCATGACAATGCCAGGAGTGGATTCCATAGCAGGATGGCATCTTGTTGGACTGGTGGGCTCAGAGGACTGCCCCTCCAGGGCAAATACATGATCTTCACACTGCGTGCATTTTAACGATCTGGAGCATATGAAAGTAGGGTGGATAAATAGAAGGTAAAAGTTTTCTGCGGCATTGTAACTGTGTATTCTATCTAGAAGAAAAATATACAAACAAGAAAAGTACAATGACATGAGCCCTTTTTTTAATAGACAATGACATGAGACATGTTTTGCGGGTGGTTCTGTAACTAGTATATTGGTATGTGTATAAGATACCTGAATGGCACCTCTCCCATTAATCCATTCTTTCTGAGGATGTGCGAGTTACATACCTTTTTGAACACATTTGAGTACTTTTAATTATCACATGTACCAAAATTAACCATTTCAGTGGGGACAAAACTGAGATATGACTGTTAGCCAGATTCTGCTCCGAAATCGAAATTCCAACAAACACAGTTGTAGTTACTTGCAGGCTTCCCTTGTGTGACAAGTATTCGCTGTAGATTTGCATGTGAAAAGTAGGTCTGCAGGACATGATCAGGTTTTTCAGTAAATCAATGCAGGACCATATATATTGTCTAAAGATACAACTTTCTTCATGACAAACATCAAAGGTAGGTTAGCCTAATATTATAGTTATATGTCCTCTTTAACCTTGTTAGTTGGTGTTGCTTTGTTCCATATGTCTCAACTCATTGGGATCACCACTGATGATTTCTGCTAGTATGGTTTCCTTTCTCAAAGAAGTTTCTGGCACCACTTTTGTGCCAGTGGTTTCATGTTAAGCTTATCAAGTTTCCCGGATGTGGCGGTGGCCGAGCCAAATTGAGTTCTTGCCAGCTACTCACTAGAAGGGAATCAAAGATCGGCCCATTCAGAGACCGAGCTGAGGAGCCTTCTCTCAGGTTTTTTTTTCACTCCTAGCTGCTCCATTTCTATTTAGTATGCCTGGTTGTTTTTTCACTGCAGCTTGCTTGTTTTTTCAAGCCTTGTTACTTGTCATATATATGCTTCAGCATGTCATTTGTTCCATTGGCACTTGGCAGGTGGTGTAGGTCAGTCAAGGCAATCTGGTTCACCAAACCTCATATTCAGTAGGCTTGAGTCTAGCTTTGTAAAGTGAATGGAGGTTCTTCCCTTAATCCACAAGAAAAGCTTTTGCTCGTGAAGCTCCGACACATTCTACCATGAAACAGCAAAAAGATAAAATAAAGGTAACACACCATGCACTTGGCCCCTTGAGAGATCTTTTGGAATCTATTGCCTGGTTTCCTTTTGTCCCTTTAGAAATCATGGCCATGCATGCATACCTCCATGGCATGGCAGCAGAATCTATGGTTTGCCTGGCCTTCAAGTCATTCGATATCCTCAGTGTTGTTTTATATTCATAAAGGCATCTGATCTGCATTGGTTTACACAACACAGACAAGCCTCTCTGCCATGGCCATAAGTACGCACCATGCACGGTGAGCAACCCGGGGACTTTTTTTGGTTCATGAGTTGCTTAGTGACTGGAGTAGTGAACTGAAATCCAGTGCCCTTTGCATGGACAGTAGCTTCTTTCCTGTTGATACAGGCGCTCTTCGCTCGGACTCCCATTATATTCCCTAAGACTCACATAGGGGAAAGAGACGGGTCAGGCAGAGGGAGGGGTGTCTTTTGAGTTAGTTTTGTTTCACACATGAAGAGAAAGGAGCTGATCATGAACGTTATTTTGATCCTTGCGTGCTTCATTGGTGAGTTCTTACACCACATATATACATGTCTCTTGTTTCCTTTGCCTGTGCCTTCTTATGTCACTTGCTCTACCCTGTCATTTGAACGCTGTTGTGTCATCTGAATCATGCATGTGTGTGATCAGTGTGCGCGGCAGGCGCGCTGCAGGAGAAGGCGGAGTCGACCACCCCGATCCCTACCCTGTCTCCTCCGGAGGGAAACACGAGCTTCATCGACGGTGTCACCTGGTGCGTCGCGCGGCCGGGAGTCCCCCAGGAGGACCTCCAGAACGCGCTGGACTGGGCGTGCGGCCAGGGCGCAGCCGACTGCTCGCCGCTGCAGCCGGGCGGGCATTGCTACCAGCCCAACACGCTCCTGTTGCACGCCTCCTACGCCTTCAACATCTTCTACCAGCAGAACGGCAATTCCGACATCGCCTGCAACTTCGGCGGCGCTGGAACCATCACCAAGAGGGACCCAAGTAAATTTCTCCTTTTCTTTTCCATTCCATCCGTCAGCGGATGTAGAGTACTTGCTCTTGATCAGTCAGTGGCTGAGCTACATATTTTATTTTAATGATGAATTGTTCAGTGGTGTGACATGTTTGCCGTCTGTCTTCTTGATAGGTTTCGGGCTATGCAAGTTCCTGGCATCTGAGTGAGTCTACTTCACACGTACTACTAGTATACCAAAGGCACTCCAGTTTGGAACACATGAATTTCACAAGAAACACTTTCACACGTAATTTACTGTTCAATTATCGTTCTAGTAGTAACATTAAGTGCTTCTGCTGGGCTGGTGCAGGACTTCTGCTGCTTCAGCGCTCGTGTTGAGGAGCATGAGGATGATCTGTGCTGCGTTTCTGACCATGCTCCAGCTCAGAGTTTTCAAAGCTGTGCGCTGAGCGCCGTGTGTCGGTGGCTGGGATGGCTTACTGTGGTGCTACCAAAGTATGTAATGCAAAATCAACAATGCTATGGTGGTTTCTCCTTTTTTGCACTTATGCAAGGAACTTTTTCTGTAATTTTACAAGGACATGCCTTCGGAGTATATATCTATATTTTATTAAAAGGTTATTGAATGCAAACTGAATATAGGAAGTGCCCACTGGCCACTGCCACCTTTTCTCCTCAGCGTTCCATCTCAGATTTACAGAAATACTTCCTCCGCAAAGAAATATAAGAGTGTTTAGATCATTATAAAGTAGTGATGTAAACGCTGAGGGAGTATTTGATAAGTTAGATGCTTACTACAAGGTGATGCTCGCTTTGCCGTTTCTTAGTCATGAGATAGAGTTGAGCATTTTTACATAGAAAACCGATGAATCAAACCAAACTGAGTTGACCGGTATTCCTATGTATTCAGTTTATGGTGTTTGGTTCGGTGTTTCCATAGCTAGTTGTTTTAGACTTTGTTCGGTTACACCTACTCATTGTGGGGTGGATTGGAGGAGGTTTTGACTTGTAGAGGGTGCAATCCCTGCCAAACCCCTCCATTTTCCCCGTCAACCGAACAAGCCCTTAGTGTTCGGGCGTATTGCCGTTTTCCATCCTACATAATCCCAACTGATCATCAAACCATATACACCGAAATGGCCTCCTTTCCTGTAGCTTCCCTACTTTGCTGGCACCATATACACCGAAATGGCCTCCTTTCCTGTAACTTCCCTACTTTGCTGGCACGTGTAGAGCATGATCCAATGTGCATGCACGCTCCCACACAATCCAATTCACTCATACATTTGCCTCTTAGAATCACTCTTTCTGCGCTGATTTTCATCCCCAAAAGAACTCCAATCTCTCAACCTAGTTGGTTCACAACCTTGACGTATATCCAATCTCTCAACCTTGTTAGCTCACAACCTTGAGGTTACATATACCGCTACAAGGCATAGCTACAACGATCGTCAGACAGGTACTCACGTTGGCTTGGATCTCTGGCGCTCGATCATTCTGTATCTGGCTCTCCTCCAATGCTAGGATGACGTCGGTCTTCCACCGCGAACCCACAGCTCGAGGAGCCTGACGAGGAAGACGGAGAAAGCGGTGACCCGACTGCTTGACGCAGAACCAGCAGGTTGTCGTCGCCCCTTCTCAAACGCACGAAGCAGAAAACCAGCTCGCCCCCATCCCCAACGAAGAAATAACTCACAAGAGTAGGAGGTCGTATTCAGCGGACAACGCGTCGAAGGACTACGAAACACACACGCCCAGGATACTCGCTTTGGTTGGCTAGCTAGTCGGCCTAGTTGGGCCTTTGGCCATCCAAAGAAGCAACGAAAAAACAGATAGGAAGGAAAGCTAAAGAAAAAAAAATGTAGAGAGAATATATAAAATGTTTCAAAAGAGTTTCCGAATTAGAAAGTTTGCGAAATTAAAAAATGTTCATGAATACACAAAATGTTAGAAACTTTAAAAAATGTTCATGATTTTGTCAAATGTTCACAAATCCCAAAATATTTCCCAAATCTCCAAAAATGTACCAAATTAAAAAATTACTCATGAATAAAAAATCACCAATTAAAAAGTTTAGGATTTGAAAAGTAGTTCCCCAAGTTAAAAAAAATGCACACAAATTTTAACAATATTATCGTATTTTAGGAAAGTGTTCACAAGTTCAAAAATTATTAAAGAAATAGAAGAAACACTAAAAAAACCCTCGTAAAATCAGCAAATTGAAACACAGGGGGAAACCCGGTCCACAGAACGTTCTACAAACTTCCTAAAACCGGTAGAAAAAAGTTAGACGCTACAGATTTGCCCACACCTGCGAAGAGGTAATCTATGGATCACGCTATGAGCGCCGGGTTCCGATGCGAATAGGCTCCATTGCAGCCAACGACCTGTCCACTCTTTGACATATGAGGCCATAAACGCAACAACAAAAAAGCACCAAGAGGTCTCATTTCGTGGGAGCTTAGTATCTCTAAAAAATCCATTGGTTTTCTAAAACCCTCGTCGCAATTGTGTTTATTCCTTTCAGAATTTACTAAGCATCAAGTACTGTTACTACGGTACGATTTTACAGCGCCACAGGCCAGAAACTACAACTAGGACTAGGAGACGTCAATCTCACTCAGGAGAAGTAGGTTCTCTTGTTCTTGCTCGCCTTCCACTGCTTGAGAATGTACGCTACTGCCTCGTCAAGCGGCGCTCTCCGGTTCTCCTTGAAGTTCCACAGCACGGGGACAGGGTACCTGCCGCTGGGGTTGTATTCGTTCATCTCAAGAAGGGCCTTGACCACAACATCGTGGGCCTCCTGCCCCAGCTCTTCTTTCAGGGCTTGCAGCTTCTCATCGTCTTCCCGGACTATTTCCTGCACCATTCAAACGTCTATCAGAATCACAGGCTGCAAAGTCATAACAGTGTTTTCATTACTGGAACAAGGACTCAAATCAGGATAGCAATATATCCAGTTGAAATTCAAATACTTCAGTTTTTTCCTTTCTTTTTTGACAATCTGACCGTTGCCCGTCAAATCAAATCAAAAATATTAATACACAAACAAACATGCATAGAACTACAGAAACATGGACCAGGACGCCCTCTCAACCAGTATATGTTGTTCTCCGAAAAGGAGCAGTATAATATAAGCAAAATAAAAAGGCTTACCTTTGTCTGTCCATCAACATCGATAACTTTGAAAGGATGCCAATCTGGTTGCTTGATCTCATCTTCCCATTTTGATAACACAAGTGTTGCCTCTACATCATACTTTGCATTTTTTTTCGAAACACCATTTCCCTCTTTCTTTTTGCATGCAGCAACAAAAGCTTTTTCATCAAGCACACCCATTCTCTTGACACCAATAGTGGATCGAGTTACTTGTATCTGTTGTAGGCCCTACACAGCGAGTAATTTGTTACCCGCGCGAAGGACGAAGCGATATATAAGGTATCACAATCAATAGAAAATTAAGAATGCAATAGAGATTATACATACCTGTATAAGTTCTTTCTTGGCTTGTTCAAGTTCATCATTGGTCCTTCGTTCCACAATAATAAGGGCCTGGTTTGCAGATTCCATGGCTTCAAGCTGTTCATCTTTCTCTTTCAGCTCTTCAGACACCTTATCAAATTCCTTTGATGTTGTATCTGCCTCAGCTCCCATGTGCTTCATTACCTCTAACTTCCCTCTCAACTGTGCTAATTCCATCTCAAGATTCTGCTTAGAAGTTAAGTCCTCTTCCAGTTTGTATTGCCTCCTGAAAGCATCTTCTTTCTCTTGCTGCAATTTCAGGAAGTGAAACAAATGCATTTTCACTAGATACTCAACATACAAACTATGCTTGAAAGCAATACCTCGTGTTTCTTGAGAAGCTGCCGGAGCTCTTCACGCGCCTTCTTATGCTTTAGGGTTGCTAAGTCAAGAAGAACATTCTCGTTTGCATTCTGTAAGAGTTTGAACAGCATACGTAAATTCAAATTCAGTTCATTAAGATATAACAGAAGGAATAGAAGATAAAATAGCATTGGAGGAAACATGAAAAAAAAAACCTTTTCTTTCTCTGCTTCGACTTTTGCTCTGTCAATATTACTTTTCCTAGCCAACTCTTCAAGTTGCTTATGTCTCCGGATGGCTTGTTCTCTCCTGGTCTTCAGTTCCTGTTGCAGTCTTTGATTATCTTCAACTATTTTACTAGAATTCCAACGAGCGTCTTCCTGCATCTTTCTTATCTCTGGTTATCGAATAGGAAAAAAAAACTCAGTAAGTTCAGTGAACACAAGATGATATTACTGCTGCCAGCAGTATAGAAGAAAACAAGTAAGATCAATAGTACACAAAATGCAGCAAAAACACACAGTATCGAAATATGTCCATACTTTCATTATGTTCCTCAACCATTCGATCCTTGTCTTTCATCATGCTTTCAAGTTTCATTGCAGTTTGATTGTGCTTCAGCTCCAGTTCTTGTAAATGCTTATTCTTCTCTTCTATTTGGCGAGTAAAATGAGCAATACGCTCAGTTCTCTCATGTTCCCGATCACCAACACTTTTTAGAACTCCAATTTTCCTCAAATGCTCTCCTATTGTCCCATGAGAGTTATAATCATCAGATCTTGCAAGCCATCCATAAAGATCGTCCATTTTACAGTTTCTTCTGTTCCAATCAGTCTTACTGTACTGCTCCACTATGAAATGGTTTTCAAAAGCTAATGCATCCTTGAACCCAGTCCAGTCTTCAGCAAACTTGATGATGGAGTGATCAGTCTGGCCCTTTGAATCCAAAAGAACAGTGACTTCGCATGGTCTGAACCGTGATAACTGTGATTTTAACATATGCTCACTCTCCCTGACAAAATTTGTATCCATCAAATCAGCTGGTAGATTAACCAGAATGCCCATCCACGGCCATACGAACTTCTCTTGTTCAATCTTAGGAGGCTTATACTCAACGATGGCAAGCTGCAATGATGGTTCCAAGGAGCTGCCCAAATCATTCTTCACATACTCTGCAAGTGCTAGGTGTGCTGCCCTCACCCTGGGCTTGCGTTTCTGAGCAGCCCCTATTCCTGAGGCATGCTGCAGAAGATCCTTGACGTTGTAATCTTGCTTCCTTTTCCCTAGGCAGAGCGGGCACCGGAAGATCTTCTCACCATACTGCACTTTCAATTTTTGGGACCGCAGCCGCAGTTGCGCGTAGATCTTGTCCTTGTACTCATCGATCTCCGAATCACTAATCTCAGATTCTTCTTCAGAGGTATGCTCCATCGGGATTTGGATGTTGAGAGATAAAATGCCCCGAGGATGAGCCCAAAAAAGCGTTCAGTCAGTGCTATCAACTGATTTGAAGTGATTCATATGGTAAAGAGGCATGTCAAATTAAAGTGAATGGAAAGCTGTGCTAGTCCTCGGAAATGATTAAATAGCCAACATTTCATTTATACACACTTTAAGTTGGTAT